AACCTGAGGCATTAAACCGGGCGTCGTTGCCGGTAGTTGTTACCGGTTAATAAAAAGCTCATGAATCAGTATCGGCTGCGGATGTATCGTAGTAGCTAGCTACAGGCGTACACGAGGCGGCCTGGCCATCCGCTGCCAATTACGAGGCCAATCGGACAGCGCGAGAGGGTTAATTAGAGAGAGTCCTGGCGCCCTGTCCTGCCGCGCTCCCCACTGCGACAGTCCCGTGAACCAATTACCGGTCGCACGATGAACGAACAGCGCGCATAAAAGTTACAACTCGATTCATTAAGCATCGTAGTGTGCAAAAACAAATAGACCAACCGCACAGCTTCATTACATTTTTGCTACATATGCAGCATGCACGGTTGCATTTCTTATCATTTTTTATGATACTACGGTTACCGTCGAAATACCAACAGTGTTCTTGGCCGTGCTAGTCATAGAGAATATTACTACAACTATAATGAAATTAAAAAAAAGCAAGCGGAGCAAAACCTTGTTAAATATTTAGAGGTATGAAACACAATAATGGCAAAGCTAAACATTTTTTTAAATCGATAAAAACTATAATAAATTTTCATTCAAATGTAAGAAGACCTATTTTATAGAATGTTGTTTTTGTTAAAGCGAATTTCATTTCACGCTTGATTCTTTACATAGACATGATAAGCAAAATTCGATATTACAACTCAAACGAGTTTGTGTAACCACGTTGCCTTATATAATCCCTTTCAGAATGTAGTATCCCGTTGGCGTAATGCCCAGCAAAAGATAAAATGATAACATTATTATGAAAGAATCTTACTTTTATGCTATTAAAGACACTTAATACGACGTGGAAAGCTCTTAGACGGGAATTGTTTGTCATGTCATCCCGGCGGCGGTCCCGAGGCCTTGCCGACGTCGATCTGAGGGCCCTGAGTGCCCCTGTCAACTTTGTTTTCCAACGATAATGTGTCCGTAAATATAGGCTTCCCCTCTCTCCCTTCAAGCTCCCCAAGCTTATTTGCGGATATACCTTTAATTAACACTTCACATTTTGAACAGAGAACGAAGTTCTATTTGTGAACAGAACACATGTCCCTGTCAGTTGCTACTGTTTTCTAAATTTAAAAGAATATTTTTTTTTGTACAGGCACAGAGTGGGACTAAATCTTCAAAACAAACATTTCTTGGTTTTGATAACAAAAAAAAATCTTTTTCTTAGGTTTTGAATCGAAACATGAATCTACATTCTGCACTATTTATAGGTTGTGTACGATCTTTATTTGATAACTATTTATTGTTAAACATATGACAAGCATTGTTCCAGAAATTTTGCTGATTAATTAGAGTCGCTAGACAATGGTCTGTCCATTGTTCATGTTGTTCGGAGAGGCTTCTGTTGTCTTATCTTAAGTCGCCTCCGTGCGAACACTATAATAATCTCCCTCTAGCTAATTATTTCTTACAGGTCACGTACGCCGTGTGGTTTGGTACCTCCAACAATTTCCTTATACATTCATCGTGATCATATTCCATGCGGTCGCTAACTATATCGTTTAAGTTCAACGTTCGGCTATTGAGTGACAAGTGGTTTGGAGTCCATTTTCTTTTGACCCACTCCGATTGGCCATTGTCGTTTAGCTTTTACGAAATAGGAAGCGTTACCTCACACGACCACAGATGCGGTTTCAAATTATATTCCCACCTGTATAACTTGCTGTATACACGATTCGGCATAGTTTAATTGTTCAATTTCTATGTTATGTTACTCAATAAGGCCTATCACTTTAAAATAATCGAAATACCACTCCACCAACGGAAATTGACTAAGGGTATTTTCCGAATTGCGGATATCTGAATAAAAGTCTTAGTAAAAGTTTACTTTCAGCAATGGAAAAATATGAACAAGTTAATGATTGGGCTCTCAGATTCTGCTGCTTGTTATTATATTATGATCAAAATCGCATTGTACTAGCGACTAAATTGTTAAGCAAAGACTTTTAAATAAAATAATAAAATGGCAATCTATTTCCGTAATTGAATTGGTTCGAAGCGCTCTAGTCTGCTGGCTTTCAATTTAGCGTTTCCGTAGGCTTTATATGTTTGAGTTATACATAGTCTGTTGGGGTAGGCAGTGGGAGCGAGCGGGAACTGCAATGGCGGCCGAGCCACCCCCACCTCTATATAATGTTAAGCGTCAGTTTGCTGCACTTCCGTCATATTTTATATAAGTTTTGACATCAGCTCATATACAGCCAAGACTTTTTTTGTGAATGTGGGGTTTTTTGATAATCTGCAATTTTTAAGCTGTTACGACAGTTTAAGAATCAGCTGCTAAAAACACAATGAGAATTTTTCATCCTTTAATGACCCTGACATCATTTAAAATAATCTTGTGGAAAGGATTATTTCAAATTAATAGTTTTCCACCGCACTAACAATATTAAAAGATGGTGTAAGTCCACAACGTTATGTATTAACTTTAGATACAATTGAACATCAGAATTGAAGCGAATTCTATTATGAGCTTGTATATAAGTATGTTTGTGTGCAAGAGAAGTGAATAGGTTACGTCTGGAGCGAGCGGCGGGATGAACTTGCTGGAAAATTGCACTTATGCAGCCGTCTGCCTCTTTCGATTTAATTCCGCGCCCTCTATCGTTCACCTGTTCGTCTTGCCTATCCTATAAATATGTATGACATAAACGACCACTTCCACCTCGTATTGTAAAGCCCTCGATGTCTAGGTAATGCAAAGCGCTACAGGACTTGGAATTTAATCGAATAGGGCGTAGCTAACCGCGGCTAACGATTCAATTAATTGCTTTTAAGTGAAATTATATTACACTTTAGTCACACCTCGAATTCGTCGAAACATACAAAGCTTGGACTTTAACACCTTTGTTTGAGTTTGAATTGATTTAACCTTTATGTACATTATCAAAATTAATTATAATCATAGTTATCGGATTTTGATACGAATTCAAGGAGCGGTCCACTGTTGTTGTTTGATTCGTTGACTTTTGCCTTCTGTAATTAGACCATGGATATGTAACCCTGATGTTTCGTTTTTCTACTAGTAAATTTTAGGACAGGTGATCACGACGCCTATTTCGCTAGCCTTAGTATGCGGTAATTGCAGTGCTCTGTTTTTGTTCCGGCGAGCAACAATGGAAAACGCATTCCAACGCATCACCGTTAGCGGGCGACGGTAATCGGCGATACGTCCCAACTCTCCACTTCCCTCCCGCCTCTTGCGCGGGCCTCGATGACGTGATAAATCAAACTAATAAACATTCAAGACTTCCGCGCTGTCTCAAGAAGATTGCACTACGACATTTCCGTTTATTAAATGTCCAATTCTCTGTACTCTTTGCTATCGTCAATGCTTTTACTAATCTTAATGTGTTCTGTTTATTATAACAACTAACCGTGAAAAGGAGTCGCATATGAAATTTAACTACCCCTGTCCGACGTTTAATATTTCATAGTTTATTACGAGTTAAGGGCGTAGGCGTATAAATAACGGTGAAGAATTTTTAGATTGAAATAACTTAGCCGAAATGAGAGACGCCGGGGCGCGGTTGGCTAGAAGCCAGAGCAAACAGGGTAAAAAGCAAGGGCGGCGGCGACCGCGCCCCGAAATAGCGGACAAAGTCAAGGCGCGCGATTGCCGCCAAGTCTCGGCTAATGCACTCTAGGACAGGTACTCAGTAGGCGCACCCTGCCAGGGAGGGGCCAGACATGTCGTGTACAAATCGAGGTGCTAAACGGACAAGTGAAGCCATTATGAGCACATTGACTAATTCTATTTCAGCCCGCCAGTCACGACTCTGAATAACGCGAAAAGTTCACGCGAACGCCGTAAAACAGTTCGCTAACAACGCCTAGAATGTGTCACCGCGACGCGCCCGCCTAGGCGGTTCTAGACCAGTTGCACGCTCGCAACTACTTTTTGTTATAATAAATGTAATAACTCTTCGTCTAAAAGATGCATGATTCCATCCAGTTTGTTTTCTATATAGGCTGTAGGCAAAATCTATCTCTAAGTGGCTTTTTACCATATTAACATGATGTCTCCAGGTACAACAGATATGATGAGCGTACACGTTCTGAGACCACTTTTTGTGCCTTATAAGATGTAGTCTTCAAGAATGCCGTCCATTAGATGTAGTTGCTAATAACTGGGTCTATGGTGTTGATTTTATGGTCATCATATCTAGATTGTCTGTCACCAATATATCATTGATAGTATTATCGCACAAAGAGAACAAATGGTACGGAAAAAGTACTTGAAACATTGACTGAGATATACTTAAGTCGTCTAGGTTTGTTTTACTTTTTAGGGGCTAGATATCTCTATAAATAATATGTATAGCTTATTAAAGTTGTATAGATTTTAATATGCCTTGATTTTAACATAATTGGCACATTTTGTTCTTATGTAGGATCCAGTTGAATCGCATCTACAATAAAATGTAGACTAAGATTAGCATTGCACATGTGGTGCCGCTGAATCATACAAGTACGATGTGGTTTATAACATCAATACAAATGAGGGTAACGGCTCATAGCGAATGAAATACAGAGGAGTCGCACGACGCTCGCGGGACACATAGAACGGCGCTGACTCACGACGCAGGCTTGGGACTGAACAAGGACACCTCGCAGTGGCAGCGCCGCAAATAATGGGAACGCAAACATTACCCCATATCCGTCCACTCTGTCCGCCATTGTGCCTCCGTGAGCCGCCTACAGCCTACATAAACGCTGCAACACCTCGCCGCCTCGTCGCTCGTGACACGGCTGCTTACTCAAATATCACATCGAAGCTGATTGCACCGCTGCCAAAACAATCTACATTGTTTAGAGGCTTTAGTTAGATAATCCTGTTAGTTCTGGTCAATTTTAGTTACAACATATCAATTTGACTAGCATTAAAGGAAAGCTAAGATAACCCTTTCCCACATTTTTGCAGGTTGCTTATAATATTTTGTTTCTTTGTTGAACAGATGACTTGAAGGCAGTGACGAAGCGTCTGATCGCACAAGCCAAGCGGGAGGGCTCTCCGGACAATATCTCGGTTATTGTGGTATTCCTCAAGGACCCGCGCGACATCGTCGCATACATGGATGAGTAAGTAATAAGCATGTACAGATAAGATCTATAAATTGTCATGATAATCAGGATCACGTCACAGATGGCACAAATTATTGACATAAATTAAAGCTGTGCATTATAATTTTTCAAATAAAAGTTCTACGACAAGAGAAAAAGACATTGGTTTAACTTTCACATATTTCGTGACGGAGTTACTGGCCATTTCGATAGTCACGACATAAAACTTCATTTTATGTAGTTTTACTTTAGCGTTTTTAAACTTTCTTCAACATAAAATAAACAAAATATTAGACCTGTTAATTGGATATTATCTTAATTATTAAATACCATCAATGAGAGTTTTGCCTAGACGAATTTACTATGGGTTAATAAATAGTCTCCTCAAGTCTCACATAATAAATATAGAAGAATAATCAGACGTTTCTAATAACTAAAAAATAGCATGAACTTTTAATAATTTTACGCTTCCAACATTGCTCGTTATTTATAGAGGAACGATAGCATGTTATTCACACCGTCAGCAATTTGTCACATGTTATGTTTTTTTTTTGTTATCTGTACGTTATACCAGACTTGTTTGATCTTGTTCGTAGGTGACGTAATAAAATTTGCAATTGCCTTGAACCGGTTGACCTCCAAATCTATCTCACGCGTGGATTTAAATGAAAGCGAAGTTTCGTTTTTTTTTAATTTAGAATATCATCTGATAAAATAAATGTACATGTAAAAACCCTTGCAAATAAATAAATTTGAATCTATAATTGCTACCGCAACAGAATATAATTGACCCATAATAGTTCAAACATGTGTCATGTGCACTGCACTGTCTGGTCATTCTATAAAAATTTGTCAACAAATAATAATCGATTAGCTTACTAGTGTTTATTTATAAACAATACAGATGCGATGCCTTCGCAGTCGGCCGACCTGCGCGTGCGCATAATGAAACGCTCAACACAATTTAGTACGACAGCTGTTCTATTGAACACGCCCGGAGCGCGAGTTTGGGGAAATACGCTTCCTTATCCTACCGCTAACAGTTCTATGGCTGCAACATCTGGACTACATTTTTGGCTTTTAGAATTTAAGATACATTTACATTGTGTATTTCGAATACTGTCTATACTAATCGCTTGATCCGTTATGAAAATTCGATGTTATGCAAATAAGAAGAACAATAGAGATTACATTATGTTCGTTATATGTAAATTACGAAAACAAAACATAAAATACACATTGCTTTTTGTGTGATAGGTAGATAATTAGGTACACAACTTACACTGAAATTGTAACTGTACCGGACTGTACTCTATATGAGGTAACGTTTCCAATAAAATTATATTTGCACAGGATGGAAAACGCGTTGGGCATGCCCCCGTTACCGGTCGAGGCGGAGGGGCGCAAACCTGACGCCGCGGCGATTGCAGTGGACGAGTGTGCCCACATCGGTGACATTGCCGATATAGAGGTCGAGGCTGATGCCGACAACGGCGTGTCGGACAGTGACAGCGAGGACTTCGGCCCCGAGACAGCGGTGGACGCCGAAGAAGCCGACAACGATGTGGACGACGCTCGCCACCACGAACCTGCGCCGCCAACACCGCCCGCACACACCGGTGAGAACAATCAGTTAACTTATAAACAATTCCTCATCATTATTGTAATTAAAAGTGTTCTTTTTGTACGAAATCTATGAGGGTTTATTTATTTTTATTTAATTTAGGATTATTAAGGTCACATCATTGGCATTAGTGTGACTTGAGTTACATTAAATAACTTAATACGAGCCCATAAAGTAACCTTTTGAACCGTATATTAAAAACGCGGACGACGTCGACAAAGTTACAGAATAAAATACCAAAACGTAACTATCGTACAACTGCTTGTTGTAAATAGAAAGACCACTTATATTTTTAGATTGCCCAACATAAAGTGTATTAGAAAACTTACAACTGTGTTATAGTCGCGTAGAAACCTCTTAAACTAGAGCAAATCCGGAGAAAAGTGAATGAATTACAGTTCTTATTATATTATGGTCTTATAGTCTTTGTGCCGTTAAAGCTCACGATTACCGAGTTGTTAAGTTATTACTTTAAAAATTTACCCCAGAAAAATGTGAAATCTTTTCAATAAATATAAATCTATATAGTTATAACTATTTTATTGTTGTATGTTTGTATCATTTGTGTATTGTTTTTTTTATTTATATTCTGGATCCATCTTTGGGCTTGATGCTAGATGTTATTATGGCTAGGTATAATATCTGGATAAAAATCTGGTATATGCGAAAATTCATTATTACATACATTATTAAACACATTACCTGTAATACATTTCTAGTAAAAATGCAGTTTTAACTATCAATATGTCATTATTTATTTATTATCCAAGCACTTTAATTTATCGTTTTTTGATTATCTCGGCTATAAGTTTTGATTACAAAGTTTCGTTAGTTGAATGAAATGTAAATTTAGAAAAATAGTAATCTTGAATAACTTCTAGATAAAATAAAAGTTAAGACTCCGTAACTTTCGTATTGTTGAAGACTAAAAGGCGTTAAAGGGTTCATTTTTATAGTAATTGGGTTCGGATGTTACTTATAAAAAATATGAATATAGAGTGCGTCGTAAATACATTCTTAAAAATCAGAAGTAAAATTGAAAATAAAAATCAAAATTGTAAATAGACTATATTTGAAATGGCTAATCGCGCCACCGCCCGCCGCTGTCACCATCCCCGAGGCGAGCGAGTGCATGTCCACACTGGGTGCGCCCCGCAGCCCGCGCGCGCCCCCCGAACGCGGCACGCACCTCCCGCTCCCGTCCCGCCCGTCTCGATCGCAGTCGCTTATTGAACGCTCGTTGGATCTGTGCTGCTCTGTGTCGCTGTGCTATTGTAGCCGAGCCTTTTGTCTACATTTTAAACGCTTTAAATATTGTTCCATCGGTTGTGAAGATTATAATCTGTGTTGTGTTTTATACTTTACGGTATGTGAACCGGCGAATATTGTTTATTATTTTCACATACCAATCTGTGAAAGGCTATTTCTGTGTTGATTCATGCGGAGCGGTGTTCTGGAAATAGAACGTTCGCTCGAAGGCGCATCTCTCCTTGGACGGCCGGCAAAGGATTCCCGAAGGGGCCGCATGTATAATTACGTATTTTCATCGCTAAACTTAGTTATTTGTGAAACTCGGGCGTGTCTCTAGCCGGAATCGAAATGGCGTCCGCAAAGTATTTCTTGGCAGTTTGAATTCGCGACCGGTAAACGTTGTTATTAACACGCGGCTGTCCCCTGTGTACATACTTTAGTGGCTAGTGTGTAAATGTCGTAAGTTATACGCAAACTGCACGTTATTCTTTTTTGTACATGGTTTTCATATGAAATTTTATTGATGCAAGGGTGTGTCACCTGTTGATGTGAGAATCGAGCCGACTGAAATAGAGTGTCCGCCAGGTGCTGAGTCGATCTGCGTTCATGTTGTAATTTTGTTTTGTTACGCAGTGGAAGAGAGACACTTAGACGGCGTCTTGGTGGATAATGTAGCTGAGAGCGGCGAAGACTCCGAGGACGAGTGGAACTATTATAAGGGCGAAGGCGAACCAGAACGTGACGAACAAAACCCGAGCGAGGAAAACGACGAGCCACCGCGCTCCGACACACCCTGTCAAGACAATGTAAGTCATCAAAACTTAGGTATCATTTACTTTACTATCCTGAATTCTTTGTTAAGCTCTGCTAAATAATAAATGACTATACCCTTGCCTTTACTTCTCCCATAAATTGTTTGAATATTAAAATATTACTCTTTTTCATGTATGACGTTTTGTAGCCAAATTTTATCCCTGTTTCACAATGTATATTCCATTTATATATGTAAAAAGAACACTATTGTAATTAATATTCCACTTTTGTATAAGATTAGTTTAAAGTGGTTTGTTCCCTCACCCTCTTGTGTTAACTCAATAAACTAGCATTAAAACAATCAAATATTGCTTTGCAATATGCATTTGTTTCTTTTTGTTGTCTAACCAGTTAATTATGTGTACATTTTTTCAATGTTTACACTTTCACATGTTTGTACTTGATCAACTCAGGAGGATAATAATTTTGTGAAACACTTTAAAAATGTGTCCTAATGCCATTTTAATTTACGAATGATTGCATAGTTCAAATTAAAATTTTCTTAGATACCTACCCTTCAGGCATTATTTAATGAAATTCAATATAAATTTATATTTGAACAATTTTTGTCTTAATATGTTATGTGACATTTGCTAATTTTTTATTAAAAATAAATTTCAAATTTTCAGTCAGCCTGGGAAAGTAGTTCAGTAGACATGAACAGTTCACCATTGAATCCGGATGCCCCAGTGTTTGTGCCGGGAGGAGTGGTTGGGTCTGATGTGCTGCTGGCAGAATCACCGCGCAAACCACTTCCTATGGATGACATTGATCTGCCCGATGTAGCTCAGTTCCAGACCGAAGCAGTGATCAGGCCGGCAGAGTTACTAGATTTGGACATTTCTGATCATCTTAATGGTCATCATGTAAGCATTTATAATTTTATAATTTTTGCAGTACAATAACAAATACAGAAGAGTACAAGGTCTGTGTTAAGTGTGTATTCTTAGTCAAATTTAAAAAAATATGAAGTCCATGAAACTTTAACCTAGTGTCAAATAAATAAAAACTATTAAAATTTTAGCAGTGCATTCTTTGGTTTGCTTAATTATAAGTTCTGCAATGTAATTGAAGTTGTATGAAGTGGAATGGTATTTTTCTTATATATTTTAAAGGTCTGTCCATACTTTTAGCATTGATATGATGCTACATAGTATTTAACAAAGGTGTTCAAGATCAATGGAACTATACAAATGATGTTTTTTTCTTTCAGAATGCTTCAATTGATAACATAACAGAACAACTTAATGGAAATGGTAAATGTGATATGGAAAGCTTAGGATTTGGTTTCAATATGAATGTAGACTCTGACAAGATCAAGGACATTAACCTTATACAGGAATTTGATAGAATACAGAAAGATACTACGGAATATTGTGACATACAGGTGTGTACAAAATGTTGCTTTTATTTATAATCTTGATTGTTGTAATGAGTTAAATTGGTTTTGTGGAATTTAATTATATTGTATTGTTGTAGGTACTCCAAGCGCAGACTGAAATGAATCCATTTGATGACAGGGATGATGAACTATTTGAAAGACTTAAAAATAAAGAAAGAGATCCAATGAGTATGAGCTTCTATCAGGAAAAAGATGATGATACATGTGAAAGGTTTACAAAAATAGAAGGTCATATAGATCTCAATGCTGTTCAACCTTTACCTGATAGTGATGATGAAGATATTGAACCTAATGGTGCTTTTAATAATGTGATGGAAAATGATAAAGAAAATATTTCGCCGGATCAAAATACTGCTTTGTTGGAAACAGAAGACAATCATGAACCCAACAATGATATTCTAAGGTTTGATGATCGGACGGAAAATTCGGTCAGCAATGTTTTGGATAATTTTATGGATAATAATATTAACAATACAAATAACATGCAATCTTATTCTAATGTTGAATTTGAATGCAGTAACATTCCACAAGATGTAATGCAGACTGATACCCCTGAATCTCACAAATTATTATTTGAACAAATTCCTGAAATACCTGATGGTAAAAGTTCCGAACTGGGTTTCACTAATGACGACTTACAAGATAGGTCAGAAAGCGAAAAAGATGTCAGAGCTATCACTCCAGAAGATGAAGTGTCTCATGATATTGAAGATGAAAGTAAATTTGATGAATCACCAATTGCTGATGAGCAGACTGATTTTATTGAGGCTGATATAAAAGAGGACTCAGAAAAAGATATACAGTTTGAAAGTGATCTTCACTCTGAAGATGATGGGCATGGCAGTACTTCTGATATTGCTAACGATTTTAATCGCCCTGCATCAGTTGAAGAGACAGTCTTATCTTCCGAAGCAGTAATAGATCAAACAGAGGCAATTATGCATCAAGTACCCAGTGATACAGAACAAACTACTCCGGTGGAAGTTAAGAATGAAAGTGAACAGCATGAAGATTTTGAGACAGAAATGAAAGATACAGTTTCCTCTGTTGAAATTAATCTTAATGAGCTTAATGTAGATAAAGATATTGAATTCGAGAGTGACTTACAACCTGTTGAACAGTCCAAGTCTTTAGTAGAATCTTCATCTATCTCACATGAAGTTATTGATCAAACAGAAGCAATAATGCAGGAAATGGCTAATGACACAGCACAAAATATTCACATAGAAGTTACTAAAGAGGATACAGATGATCTTAGTGAAGACAAGAAAGTTGATTTGGTAGATGACATACAGGGACCACTGGATAATGAGTTTGATGCAGAGCTAGAGTGTAAAGAAGTGCAAGATGATATGATTTCTAAGTCGCCATTGCCTAGTGAATCACCAGCTGCATCACAAGACATCAATGAGCCTGGTGAATCCGATGTTCTTTTACAAAATATACCACAAGATAATGAATTTGCCGCTCAGTCTCCACTACCTGTGGAATCACCACTACCTGTGTTGTCACCGAAACCTGTAGACTCATTACTAGTGGAATCACCACCACCTGTGGAATCGCCTTTACCTGCGCACTCACCTCTCCCAGTAGAATCTTCGCAACACGAGGATTCGACGCTATCTGTGAAATCGCCTGTACCCAGTGAGTCACCACTACCTGACACTTTACAGTCCGTAGATAACTTTGCAACAGAATTAAATGCTAGTGATTTATCAGCAACAAAGGAGGCAGGAGACTTCTTAGGTAAGGAATCACCACTACCAAGTAAGTCGCCGCTACCAACTGAATCCCCCTTACCAACGGAATCCCCACTGCCAACTGAATCACCACTACCAAGTGAGTCACCGCTACCATCTAAATCACCACTACCAACTGAACTGGAATTACCAAGTGAATCGCCTCAACTCAGCGCATCTCCAGCGCCAACTGAAGAATTAATACCTAAATCACCTTTACCAGTGGAATTATCTTCTCCAAGAGTTTCCCCAATACCAACTGAATCTGTTATTAGTGAAACTACATTGCCAATTGATGAAGTACCTCAAGAACTACTGCCTGAACATAAATCACCTGGGCCTCAGGAAGAACCGCAGTCAACTGAACAAATTGAAGTTAATGAATCATTTATATCATCTGAAGGACATTCAGAGCAACATACAGTTCCACAAATTGAACATATTGAAACAGTTGAGTTGTCACATAAACCAGAAGCTGCATCGCCTGCTCCTCCACAAATACCTACTGAAATCGCGGCACCGGCAGAGTCTCCAACTCCTAGTATATCGGCTTTGTCTGTCAAGTCCCCCGAACCCTCACATGACGATGTTCAACCTTTAGAATTAAATGACAAAGTAGCAGACATACCGTGCGAATCAAGACTGACGCCTGAAGTTCCGCAAGAAACTGTTTTAGAGCCAGCTTCGGATATCGCCCCGCAATCTGAAACGATAGTCGCCGAGCCCACAGGGCCGACACCGGATTTAGTACCTGAAGAGCGTGGAGATGTACCTCAAATGCGAACCGAACTCGTTACCGACATCGATATCGGCATCCCTGAATCTCGTGCACAAGAAATCTGCGTTCCGGTCACCAGCGAAATTCAGCTCGACGATGCCATGCAAGCCAGTTCCGGCACGCCACCGCCCACTCCGGCCGTGGAACCTATCCAGATGGCGCCATCCTCGCTCGACATCGCGCCAGTCAGCGAAACGTCTATGGCCGCCGACGCGGTCGCTGTGGCCGCCGCAACCGCCGCTGCGGGCGCGGCCGTCGCTGCGGCTACCGTCGCCACCGCTAAAACGAAAACTCCAGCCACGAAAAAATCTCCCACCACTCCTACGACGAAAACTCCCAAACCTGCTCCCAAATCTACTGCGACTCCACGAACTCCCGCTACAGCCGTAAAGAAGACTGCGGCGGCATCGCCGGCCCCGAAGACGCCGACGACTCCGAGACCGATAACTGCGAAAACATCCCTCAGTGCTAAAACGACTCCCGCCACAAAAGTGGCCGCTAAACCGAGCACACCGTCATCCAAACCGACAACGCCCATCACGAAACCAACGGCCAAACCTTCACCGGCACCCGCCAAGGAGGCGCCGGCGGTGGCTAAAGCCGCACCAGCACGTGTCGTCGCTCGGCCACCCGCGAAACCGGCCGCCGCCAAGCCCGCCTCCGCCCCGGCCAAGACGAGCACAACCGCGGCCGCCAAGCCCGCACCTCCGCGTCCCGCCGCGCGACCCGCCTCTGCTCGCCCCGCCGGTACGGCTCCCGCCGCAACTGCCGCCACAACGAAGCCCAAACTAGAAGTCAAGCCGAAACCGGCAGCGGCGAAGCCCCTCATGAACGGCGATGTTAAAATGGCCTCAAAGGCTCCCGCCAAGCCGGCGGCGAGCGCGCGCCCCGCCGCTAAGCCCGCGCCCAAACCCGCGCCACGGACCACCACCACAACTGCAGCGCCCGCCAAGTAAGTTGCCATTCGGCAATGCTAATATTTTTAATATTGTAAAAACATATTTGTCCTGTTGTGTAGCTGCAGACACATTAATAATACTCCTTACTTCTTCGAAAACTATCAAATGTGATGAAGATTAATAGAACTTATCCGCCCATTACTGAGGCGGAAAGTATTTTATAATGTAAGTGTAATAATTGATACCAATGATATTAGTAGTAATAGTTTAATAATTTTTGTAACAACAGAGCCCCGGCTCCCCGAGCAGCCGCGCGCCCAGCGCTGGACAAACAGACCAAGGATCTCGCCAACAAGCGCATCACCGCCAAGGCCGCACCCCCGAGGACTGCCCCCGCTAAGGTAAATTTATATTTTAAATCAGTTTTATACAACAGCGTTTCTGGTGGTTCACGAAGTAGCATTTTCAACCCATGCAGCTACAAAAATTAAATATCGCAATAGGTTGAATAACACTTCAAAACATCAACCAATTGACGAAAAATAAGATCTTTATTTTTTTAATATTTTATGACTAGCTATAAAGTAAATGATTTATACTTTAATTGATTTGAAGAATTACTAGTAAATCGATTTTTGGTCATCATGGGGTTCCGTCAATTACTTCTCTGCTTATAAGGGTTCTAATTGTATGTTAAATCCTGTTTTTAAGTGATATAAAAAATTAGTTATGAAACTCATTCGCAGGCCCCAATAAGTGCAAAGAGTGCAGTTCCGAAGGGCGGCATTAAGAAGGTGGAGTCTGGCAAGAAGGAGGCGGCGCCCGTGAGGAACGGGTGCGCGCCCACCAAGCTGCCGCCGAGCCCGCCGCCCGCCGACAACGCGCTGCTGCCCGACGTCATCGCGTAGACCCTCTGCCCGACCCCACACTCGCTAACGATTCCTATTATTTCCGCTTACATTTTGTGATTTTCTATAAGTGTATTATAGTTTTAAAGCCCCTCGAGGCGCGTCGTTAGGTGCGGGAGCCTTCTCCCACTTTTATATTATAAAGTCGCTTTTTATAGATTTGTAAGTCGCCGACTCGCTGTAAGCCTTCCGCGGTTATATTCATCGTAACGAGTCTGTTTAGAATTTTTATATTACCAACGAAAGATTGATTTAAAATCTGATTTTTTTTATTTATTTCCTTTGTAGAACCGTATTATTTAAATAAAATTGTGAAGAAGGAGGACTGAGACATTGTTTTATTTATGGTAAAGTAACGATTGTACGTTTATATTAATTAATATTAAATAAAACAGTAAAATTAATGTTTTTTATGTCGCTATTTTTACTTATGTCAATGTAAACTTTACTATCATGGTGTTGCAAACGGACATACAACAATTTATTCTAATAAATGGTTATATCACCTTTTTGTCTTTCATTTCACTTTTTATTTTGCAAAGAAATGTAGATCTATTAAGTAAAATTACATTTAAAATCCATCCATTACAGTTCAGTAACATACAGATTAAACAAAATAAGTAATACTATGTAGTAAAATATTTAAATTAAGATTGATTTTTACATGCTGTGGATTTTTTACTTATATTATCATTTTAAGTGTGGGAAACGTAAGTCAGTATCGCGTAGATTTTTTTCCATCCATTTGTCAGCTTCTTGTTCCATTTCTTCGTCAAAGTAATCTCGCCAGCCACCGGCTTTCCCTAAAAATCATTAAGAATAAGTACAGTGAGTATAATAACAATTAGCTTGATTGAGTAAACTCGGGGGAGGAGTACTAAACAAATAATGCAAAAGTCATGTCGTTCAGGTTTGACAGGCTACAGATTAGGAGTTCCATTAAACTGTCAAACTTACAAGAAAAAAGTCAGTTGAGAAATAAAAATTGGATCTTTAAAAATGTTTACCTTTCCTGATGAAGGATTGTCCGTCCGATATTAAAATTCCTAGTTCTTTCATCACATCATAGTTGACAGATTTGTTATTCTTGAAGTTATCAATGCTGAGATGTTCGCACAGTTTGGCGATCTCTTCGTTTGTAAACGACTTGCCCAGGAAGTCGGCAACTCTACGTACCGCCTTTGGCAGATCCTGAAAGAATTATGGATTTAACTATTTATTATATTACAAATTAATGAAATATAACAATCACTAATCCAGTGCTCGCTCAAATAAAAGAATTTATTTAATATGGTGAAATAAAGAGAGAGGTATAGACACCATGAATAACATGAATGTTTTTACTTTCATATTAATCCTTACCAATAACCTTAATAATCTTGATGAAAAATACCTTAGAAAGTTCTTCGTAAAACAGGAACAACAAGTTAGGATGATCTCGCCTCTCCCAGGATTCTTTCAGATGTTCAAAGTATGGCGTCCAGTGATCTATAACATTTATAAAATTAATAAGTACATGGGTATCAGGTTCCTTACGTAAGATTTAACATATGATATGACAGTAAATTTAGGAGATATAGGAGATATCTTTATCTTTAGTATTTGAGAATCTAATCATATATTAAACTCACGTAAATCGCTAATGAAGAATTTCCAGTACTTCTTAAAGTCGTCAATGTATCCCTGAGTGCGCATTGCTCGGTTGAGATGATAGAAAGAGACAGCGACATCTCTGGGATCGCGGGCGACGTAGACAACTTTAGCCGTATCCAAGAGATCCGGCGGTAGTAAGGAAAGTGGTAAATGTGACTTTATAAAACGCTGTTTGGTCATAAGGGCGAGTTGCTCAGTCGCCGGTTGTGTCACCCACTCTAAAAGTTTTATTTTTCGCTCGCTGTCACTGTTCTCGTCGTGGAAACGTTTCATCATCACAGGGTGCACGAACACTGAAAACCTAAAATCATTAGACCATTAACAACAGATTCATCTAACAAAACCTTCACGCCCTTAGCATGCCTCCGCAGCGAAATAGGAATAGTGTTGTTAGGACTCCGGAGTGGAAGTGTGCTACCGGTGTTAAGACAACTTTATTTATTTTCAATGTACCAATACGTTAAATATCATTTCAAAATTCGGTCTTACCCTAGTACTTGTAGTATGATAAAATATTTAGATACTTACTCCAAAAATGGGTATCGTTCAGTGAGAGGTATTGCGTTAGAGGTTTCGTAGTCCAGGTCATTTGCAACCATCCAAACCAGTTCTTGAGTCCAAGTTGTTCCTGCACATTTTTTTTTAGATAATGTACTTACAAAGCAATATTTAAAACAAATTTACTACTTTCAAACACCACATATATTTTAAAATTTAGTTTTATCAAGATACAAATTGCATTTTTATTTAAAGTTTCCTTGTAAGTTCATTTTATTACTGATATGTAGTAAAAGTGACGTATCTGTTCTTCCACATTATATTCTATATCAATGCCATATTTCATCTAGATCCGTTGAGTCTTTCTAGACACAGCTTCTAACAAACATCCATTCAACCAGTCATCTAAACAGATTCAGGAAACTTTTTGAATAATAACCATTTGATAAAATACTAACAAGTTATGGTAATGATAAATAAATAATATAGTCAAAGGTTTATAATATTAATCTTTACCGGATCTTGGATAACTTGTTACAAAAATATCACTCAGTCTGACTTCCATGTTGTAGATGTTGGAGGCTTCTTGTCTGTACTTATGCGGCAGGAAGTAGCCCTTAGGGCCCACGCGGACGAAGCCTGTGTGTTCTCCTGTTAAAAGTTTAACAGTTGTTGTTAAATAAAAAAACACAAATGGTATTCTTCTAACATTACCGCAAATTTACACACAGTACAGTAGCCAGGCGTGAAGTGGAAACAATGCTACGTTTTGTCTTACGAGTGTGTGTGTCGTAGGCCTAATTTTAGTTCCCTTTCCCTTTTTATTTTCTTAAAGGATGGGAAAGGGAAGTGGATTTCATGGTGGAGGGGAAGGAAACTGTCGTCTGAAGCTACGCAATTGCGAATATGTATGGAAGGTGGACGCTTTGGCATTTCGGTGAATTCTGGCGGTCACTTGCTCTTTTCCATGTTATGATATTAAAAAGTATTCACCACCAAAATACTTGCAAAACATTGCCCTCCCTTTTAAAGATACCGAAAGGGTCATCTCTAACATCCCCTTCGTTTTTTCTCTTCGTTTTGACTCAGACTACTCAAGGTTACGTATTCTGAATTCTTGTTATGCTATGTATGGCCGAGTTAATTTAAAGTAAGTAGTTATAATGATTACATTCGAATTGCATGAAAACGTAAAGACCTTGTGTTAGCTTTCCAACGTATTGAGAGGCTATCAGGAAGTTGTCGAAGTGAAATTTAAAAATAACGGCGCGAAGGCTGATCTAACTCACAAATACAACTTTAACAATCAAACACGAAGTAGGAAATAATAAAGTTAATCAAGTGTGACTCGGACTTTGAAACCTATCGGATAAATAAAATAAATCACAAAATAATAACTTAAATATGTAAGTTTATACCAACTTTTAGAAATTAACTATTTAAGTAATAAGTTCGATATAGTATTCTTCTTCTTCTACTGCCTCTTCAGTCTTGCAGGTTGGGCGCTAACTTGGAACATTTGGTTATATAGTATACAGTTGCCGAATTGTTTAAATCATATGGTTTCTAATTAGTAACTTTTAAAACAACTAAGTTAAGAATACTCTTATAACAAACATTGCGTCCAATTCATTAATTAAGTTCTGTTGCATTAATCAGACGCAAGAGTGACAAGTTCAATGACCGATAACTTTCTGAATACTTCACAATTGCTTATATAAATGTAGATCAATGTTTTAAGATGAGTAATGCCATGTAATAATTACTGTACAAAATAACTCTATGTATTAAGACAATTTATTTTGTAAATAAACATAAATTAGCGTAAAACATTACAACCTAAACAAAAGTCGTTGAACTTTACGATATTTTAGGTCTACACTACGCATCTACTATATTGATGTTGATTCAACCATTCATAAATAATGCATATACGTAATGTTATTTATACATAACGTAATATTATTTTGATAAATGCCACGGCTATACTTATAAAGAGCCTACATTATATACATTTAAGGAAAATTATGTTTGTTATTTCGATGCCGGCTTTTCTAAAATATTTGTATACTGAATAAAAATAGTGATAATAGTATTATTAATAAATACACTATTAAATGGTTATCTTGCTTTGTAATTACAATAAAAATATAACGATACATCACACTGCCCACCCTACTCAGCTAGCGTCGTGATGGATCAACTGTGGTCGCTGTCTGTGCGACCCACATTTTAATTCGACGCCACTTTCCTCATGTTGTATGTAAAAACTAATTTAAGAAGTGAAATTTCTTTCGCATAGGCGTTTGGTACACTGTTCTGTCTTATTGTCTTAGGAAATTTATTAAATCAATGTTTTTGTTAATTTTATCACCTATGCATTAATAAAATACTGCACATATAAAACTTTGGAACCCCTTTTCGAAGTTGTTTATCAGACTCAACTTTTTTGTTTGCACATTGTGATATGATTTTGTTTTGATTATTTATTTAGTCCTTTTATAGATATTTATTTTTAAAAGGTCTGAATAATAAATTAATTTATTTTTATGTTAAGTGTTATAAGTTGTTTAAAATGTAAATAGTTTAATTACTGCTTTCATTTACTTAATAAATTAATAATTACCATTTGCATAATACTGCAATACAGTTTATCTTAAACAAAGTAATCACTCAAAGGTACGTGTGGAAATTGTACAGATATTCCTAAGTATGTAGTCAATATTATTCTTGTTGTTTTATTATTCATAAAATTACACGATAGATTATATTATGTTATATTATACATTAACTCGTCAAGTAAACTTTGACGTTGTAGTAATAAAATTAGGTCTTGATTATGAACTATAACAATTATGTTAATCATTCCTGACGTTGTTAAAACAAATTTTGATTAAAATATGTATGTAGGTCAAACATTTAAAACTTACCAGTGAAAAATTTCATTAATTCTTCAGCTGTTTTTGATTCAACATCTTTTATTTCTATCGGGAAGTTGTTATTGATTGAATTTTCCATTTTGAATAAACTGTATTTCTATTCTTTCTGTTGTTTATATCGCCGTTTTTATTGATGTCAAACTGTTAAAACGAGAAAGCGCGCGAGCCGGAGCCAGTTCGGCGTCGTACTGAGCCTCGGACCTACAACTTACAACTTTAATGTAATTGTGTCACCTTGATCTTGGTTCACTGTTGTGCATAAAGTTGTAAACAAAAATAAATCGAACTAATGATGCAGAAACTAATCGACCAGAAAGATTCAAGGTTTACTTGTAATTACTATGTTTTTGTAAATACCTTCACAGTTATATTTTTTACTTTCCGACCAAAACCTCAGGTAGCCATATCTCTTTCCTTCTGTAGCCTTTTGCAAATCAGAACCAAACGCGTCTTTAACGTTACGGTTTCTCACAGATGATGGTGTAAACTCATTTCCTAAGGCGATTTTAAATATGTACGCATTGCTATTCTTTATGCGTAGGTGTTCACGCAACTAAACGAAAATTGAAATGTAAAGAATTACTACTACTACTACTTGTTTCATAAAAGTATTCATTAAAATAAATTGTAACCTTTCTTAAGCAAAAAATTGCGAAAAGGTAAAGTGCGTACCGCCTAAGTTGTCGGCCATTCAACTTACCGACAGGTGGTTTACCGTATAGATTAAATTCGGAATAATAATTCAAAAATCCCAGTAAACTTTACAATACATTACTCGTTGCGCTTACGCTTACGCGGAAAATCTTTATAACGTCTCTAAACTACGAGCGTGCTAGTCTCTATCTAATATTCCACTATCTAAGTGATTTAATTTATTTCATTAATTAATTTTTACTATTATTGCTTTATTTCTTACTATTCCTTATTAAATAGTCGTGCTGTTTATTACCCAAATTTCATACGAAGTAAGCAAATGAGATAAGATAATTAAATCAAGTTTAGTGGAACATAATAAGAGTCAAGAACAACAATATTGTAATTAAAACCAGACACACTTCCCGTTAACAGATTTTTATTAAATTTGGTATATACGTTTTTAGAACTGATTAAATGCAATTTTTATACTCATTGTGAATACAAGATGACCACTATAACAAAATGTTGGGAAACATAATTTAGTACAACCACCCCAACATGCGGATCAAATCCAAAAAATTTACTAATAGGACAACGTGGTACAATTAACTAAAAACCTAAAATGAATTGCTAAAAGAAAGAATTGACTTAGGAAATATTTTTTAATAATTTAATAAACTTTGGACATTGCTTTTGTTAAAAGAGTGTTCATGTTATGGTGTATTTTATTCAATAACTTTCATTTTTTTTGATTTCGCACCCATATTAATTCGACCGAAACAAAATTACAGCTGATAAATCTAAACGTCTAGTTTAATCTAAACAGACTAATCTAATCAGCTCCTAGGCACAAGGCGCTAGGGGCTTCTGTTTTAGAACGAACTGTTCATTTAAAACTGAAGCAGGCATTATATTTTAGCTGAGGGAAAAACCTTCACTTTCGCCATACAAAACTTTCAGTTGAAAAAGACATTAGAAACAAGTAAATAATTGTTTAATTTTTAATATAAGTAATTTTTAATAGGATGCATCATTTTCTATCAAAGGTTTACTGCTGGAATCGTAAATCTGTGTCGCGCAAATTCTCTTCTATCCATTGATCTGCTTGTTGTATCATCTCCTCGTCGAAATATTTCTTCCAACCACCAACTTTGCCTGGAAAAAAATATAAAATAAATTCACATTTAAACTTTGTTCAAAGGGACTAAGGCCAGACAGGAAGTTAATATCATGTACACTTATTGCCTGAGGAATACAAAAAGTCGCGCCTTATTTTCCCCAATATGAACTTCCCTTCTAAAGTGCGCAAAGATTTTTGCGAAATTCTTTGCGCACATTGGCAAATGATTTAATAAGTCGATCATTGCTCCCCAGGCCAGGCCTTATATTGAATAAACCAGTCGTTGACCACGATCCCACTTGATAAACATTTTAAATTTTGATCTTAAAACGTTTTTCCATTTTTTATGCAAAATTGCAACATGCTAAATTTTAATGCTAAATAAACTTATCTTAAAGTTTTATTTCATTAACTAATTTCAATATCGACGTGTTTACAACACCTGTGTTAGCTCATAAACTTATCTACCTACCTATTATGTACATATATTTAGTACGTTGTAAGACCACACAGCAATCTTTATCAATGGTATTATGAAATATAATCTTTTTATACATCTATCATACCGGATATGTCATTAAAAAACCCAACGAAGATTGCTTATCAAATTTGGTAACATTACGCAATAATAGTTATAAATTTCTCCAACCAAAAAATTTGTGTATATCATTGACAAATGCTACTGCTTGTCTTTACATCGTACTAATATTATAATTTTTAGATGTATGAATGGATGGATGGGTTGATGGATGTTTCTTAAATGGAAACTCCAATACGGCTGCATGTATCTTGCTGAAATTTGGCATACATATACAATATAACACATAGGCTACTTTTTTAATTCAGTGCAGACGTAGTCGCGGTCGACAGCTAGTTTAGCTATAAAATGTGGCTGCTTAGTATCAAAATTTAAAATATCATAATTTTAATAATTAGAGAGGCCGATTTATACGCTACGCTACCTTTATAATATGTCAGTAAAGACTCGAATCACCTCCTCACACTACAAAACTTGTTTCTACCTACCTTCTCTTATGAAACTCCCTTTCGAATTGAATACTCCTATTTGTTGCATTTCTTTTAAATTAACAGATTTGTTCTTCTTAAAGTTATCTATCTTAAGATGATCACAGAGCTTTTCTATTTGCTCCTCCGTGACCTCCTTGTTCAGAAACTTGGCGATACGACGCGCACACGCCGCTAGATCCTGTCAGTATAAGAAAACTGTTTAACTGTGAAGTTCTGGTTGAATTAAGCTGGTTAGCCAACTAGTTAAAATTTCTTTTAAATATTTATAGGAAGGTTTTAAAGTATTTTGTAATCGTAACATTATTTACCCGAGATAGTTCTTCATAAAATATAAACAGCATATTTGGGTGATTACGCAATTCCCACGCCTCCTTAAGATGTTCGAAGAATGGTGTCCAAGAAACTGAAAACAGGGTCGTGATTGTGAATATATTGAACTTTTTGTACTTTTAAATTAAATTTTTGTATTATACTTTGACTTTTTATTATAATTGTTGCATCGTCGAAAAAGTCAAACTCACTCAAATCCTTGATGAATAAATTCCAATAGGTCTTGAAATCGCTGCCTTCCTTCAGCGTTTTCATCAGATCACTATGATGATAGAAGGAGACAGCGACATCTCTCGGGTCTCGCGCCACGTACACCACCTTGCAGGTGTCTAGCAGATTGACCGGTAACATTGACAGCGGTAGATGGGACTTGAGGAACCTCGGAGACGGTAGGTTGTGCACTTTCTCTAATAGACATATATTTTTCTGCATGGTTTCTTTTATTGTCTCGTCCATGAAAATTGTCGGCATCGCATTGTTGTTTATTAATATCGATGACCTGTTTGTCAAACATTATTGTTAAAGATATAAGTATTTGTTTCCTAACTGCTACCATGTTGTTACGGTCTGCAAGATAGCTTACTCTATAAACGGGAACCGAGTATTCAGATTGGTTGCGGCGGCAGCTTCGTAATTGAAGTCGTTCGCCATCAGCCAAACTAATTCCTGAGTCCATGTTGTACCTTTAACAAATGTATCGAAACTTAGCTTCTTACGTATAGTTAATGAATAGTCAAAAATTTTATTTTTGTTCAGGTGTCTTTTTAATTCTTTCGATTCGACATTGTTTTTTTGACAATTTGCATTACTCACCGCATTTGGGAAAAGTGACTACGAAAGTATCTGAAGGTCTTAACTCCATGTTGTAAATTTCTGCGCCAAGACTCCCGAAATTATGAGGAAACAGGTAGCCTTTTGGTCCATAGCGTGTTGTGAAAAACGTCAAGTATGTATCTAAGAACAAAAATCTATGAGTTATTAGTTACCTATACTTTAACCTATAATTCATATCCATTTGTAGTATTTTTATAACGTCTACCTTATTAACGCCAATTAAAATTAATGAATTTTAAGTTCAAAATCTACACCTAATTAAGCGCGAAATTAAAAAAAATGTAACCGTTTTTGTTTTCGATAGTCTCTGGTTTTTAGCGAGGAACATAAATATTTTCTTAGCAAATTTTTTATACTTTAAAATCACGTAAATTTTATAAGAATGGATAAATTATTAACGAATTCCTTACCGTCATAGAAGTTCTTTATTTGTTCAAGTTGGTCAGGATCGACGTCGACAGCTTCAAAAGGATAGGTCTTGTTTAATTCAGCCATTTTTTTATTTAAAAATTGACGTTTGGGATTTATGTTGTATTGCCTGCAGTGCCACAAATAACTATAAGTTAAGGTTTTTAAATTGTGTCGTTTTATGATAATTTTATTTTATCTAAAGATAAAATACCCTGCCTGCTGTACAGTTAAAATTAAAAATTGTCAGCGCATTTGCGATATCCAACTAAACTGTTGAATATCAGCTTAGTCAGATATCACATTGGCACTTCAAATTGAAAATTAAAAAAAATGACTTTGTCGATAGAACTTTATAGAAGTCATTAGTAAGTAATTGATTGACCGCCAAGTTCTTAGTATAAATGTTACGATTATGCGATTTAATTTCCCTGCTATGTATATTTACTGCTGTCATGGGGCAGCATTTCACGCAATATAAATATTTGCTATTTGAATTTATGTAGGCGACAGTTACCTCCAAATACGGCATACTAAAGGGGAAGTAATACAATCACCATCCCAAAAATCAGAACACGAAGGTGCTTTACCCAAAAACACATAACGATTTTTTTGGCGACATTTCATTATATTTTTGATTGCTTACAGGTAATCCATAATAACTTGATTTATCTTATATATAAAATTCTCGTGTCACAATTTTCGTTCCCATACTCCTCCGAAACGGTTTGACCGATTCTCATGAAATTTTGTGAGCATATTCTGCATGTCTGAGAATCGGCTACTATCTATTTTATATTCCCGCGCAGACGGAGTCGCGGGCAACAGCTAGTAAGGTATAAAAATTAAACGTTTTTTTTTAGAGAATGGAAACAATAATGTCAATTAATAACTTAGATGGATGGATGTTTCTTATTACGTATCGCTAGAGCAGCTAAACAAATATTGGTGAAATTAGTCATAGATGTAAAACATAGTCTAGAAGAACACCTATAGACTACTAATAATTTTGTTTTTTAAATTCGGCGCGGAGGGCGTTACGGACAAAAGCCTTATGCTTTTACGTAGTTGATGGGAAACGGAAATCGTAATAGGATCATCGTAAATTATAATTATTATAGTTTTATACGAAGTTAATTAAACTTTTTAAAATACTAATACTGAATACTATTTACATTTTCTTTATTAAATTAAATTCCATAGTTATGACACAGTTGGAAATCGCAAGTCAGTGTTCTGCAAGTTCTTAGCAATCCATTCCTCTGCCTCTATGCTCATGTCTGCATCGAAATAGTCACGCCAACCTCCGGACTTGCCTGCAAAGAGTTAAAAAATTAGAGAATTTTTGATAAATAAGCAAGACATAAAACAAAAAATCTATGACTAAAAACTTTAGGATTCTAACTGTAGGCTTGATAAAACATATTGTCAAGCAACACACTTAGTTTTAAAATACTAAGAAAATAACACAAAATAGTCGCCACGGTAATACTTCGTGGCAAAATAGCAAATTCTGTATTTAACTACTTATCGAAAATATTGTAGTATTTAATTATAAAGAGTTACTTTTAATTATTATTTATGTGTTCGTGATCCAAGTCTTGATAATTACCTTTTCTAACAAACTCTCCTTTTGATGCCATAATTCCTAACTCTTTCCAATTATCGATGCTAACTGATGGATTATTTTTGAAGTTATCGAATTTTATATAAGTACAAAGCTCATCTAATTGCTTAGCAGTGTACTCTTTGCCCAAGAAATCGGCGATACGTTTTACCGTCGCAGAGAGATTCTGAAATTAAATAAGTAACACTCATTTATCACGTCCCTGCCCTTATCTCACGCACATTAGCAGGATTGAGGAAGACATTGACCGATATTTGTAGCTAGTCAATACAAAGAAATTTAAATCCATATTGGTTTTGTCTGTTTCAATATTGAAATAATAGTCAGTAAATAATGTATATATTGTTATACTGACACAATTAAGTAATTTATAATTGTTTTTAACTTAAATTCCTGTCTGTCTGTCTTTACCTGCGATAGCTCTTCATAAAACAAAAATATCATATTGGGATGATGACGCATCTCCCAGGCCTCTTTTAAATGATCAAAGAAAGGTGACCAGTACACTGAAATAACAACAGAACTTCGTTTATGATGAAAATGTAGCCTTTACTCTTTATATCTATTTTTTTCTATGTGTGCTACCTGTAGTGTTTGTATCTATAGCATAGGTATAGGTAATACATTGTCTCATGTACACCAGTAGAGGTCAGCCGTCTTTCCGTCATTCCGACGTTATACGCAGTGAAGATTGAACAGTGCGTGCGCTCGAGACTGGATGTAGTAGTGAGCCGGTGAATACATCTTAGTAGCAAGTCACGTGATTGCTACACTACCTATTTTTGTTCTAGTAGATAAAACTATTGAAAAACTAACCTAAATCCTTGACAAATAAACTCCAAAATGATTTAAAGCCGCCTTTAAATTTGAACGTCTGAAATTCGCTGGTGAGATGATAGTAAGAAACGGCAACGTCCCGAGGGTCTCGCGCCACGTACACCACCTTACAGCTATCAGGCAAACTCGGGGGCATGAGTGACATTGGAAGGTGGGTCTTAATTACCCTAGGTGAGGGCATTGCAGCGACCTGTACTGTCCCAGGAACCCTTAAAAGTTCCAAAGCCTTCAATTTCTCCTCGTTACCGGCGTGTACCTTTCTTAACTCATCGATAAGATCCTTGTGCATGAGCATAAAAAATCTGTAAAATTTAAATTTGTTTAAGAAAATAATTCTTAAAAGATCAATATTTAAAGTAGGTATAGGTTAATCGCATACCAGATTTATTAAATGGTAAAAAACCAAAAGTAGATTTCTAAAGTGAAATAGTAACATTTCTAAGGGTTTTTAGAATTTTCACTTTATAGATAATCCAAAAAGAATATTAAATGTTAAAAGGTAATTGAAGAAGTGAGAAATTCGAAACTTTTCTGATTATTCATTAATCAACTGAAAAAATACTAATCAAAACAATTGATTTTTTTAAAACTGTTTCAGCTGTATGTTGACTACAATGGAATGGACAAACATATTGCGTAAATATTCAGCATCAGTTTTTTTATTCAATTTCCAACGAATTGTAAATGAACAGACAAGATGGGACATGATGTATAATACATTTTCATTTAAGGAAATCTAAAAAGAGCATAATATGACAAAATTGGCATTACGGACATATTCTTATGATTATTATTTTAAAAACGGAACGAAGTACAAAAGGCGGGAAATGAATTAAAAAATCTACTTGCTCTAAGAACATAGATCTCTCTTCGAGCGGAGTCTTATTTGCGGCGGTAAAGTCTAAACCGTATGTCAACAGCCACACTATTGCTTGCGTCCATGTTGTTCCTGATAATTATAATAAATCTCACATTATCTTGACTTATTTTATGTGTTCACATATCTTATTACTGCTGTCTCGGACTTACAAAGTCATTTCTGTATTTATCTTAGTCTATATTGAGTATAAAATAGATAAATAACCGTTAAAGAATGTTCAAATGACGGGATCAAGCCTATGACCACATCATTAGGTTACTGGCGCTTCAAAATGACTTCATTCACCTCGCTGGCTTTATACCACAAGCGTGGGGTCGGCACGCAAGTTATTAAAACGTCGGCGCGCAATTTTTACGGTCGGCCGCGGACTTGTCGCCTACTCTAGTTAAATGAAATTAGAAACGAAATAATTATAGCTTAATATAAAAAGTTACTTTCACAATACACCATCAATAAATAATGATGGTAACAGTATACAGTATAATACATGAGAAATAAAACATTATGAATAGACTCATTATAACTGCATTAGTGAACTAATTACAATTGAGCCAATTTGTTTTTCATTTTCGTATTACCTGATCGTCCTGGGTTCGAATCCCGCCATTTACCATTATGTTTTTTGATTTCCGATTTTAGAGGTAAACATCGTGATGCAACCTGCACATATCTGAGAAGAAATTCAAAGATATGTGTGAAGTCAACCAACCCGCACTTGCCCAGCGTGGTTGACACCCAAGTCACCGGTAATTTAGGGTAGGTTCCGAGCCCCTCGGTTGGGACGTATAGTGAGCTGATGATTACCTGATCGTGGATAGGTCACAATAAAGATATCATCAGGTCTGAGCGGCAAGTTATAAATATTTTCAGCTTCATTCTTATAATCACTAAAGAGCAAGTATTTCTTGGGTCCAACTTGTATATTATGTTTTGCCTTTATACCTGTAATATGAATTTTAAAATATGTAATTTAAAGCGTGTTACTTATGGCACTAAGGAGACAAGAATAAACTGTTGGTCAAACTGTTTCTGTTTTGGATTGTAATGGAACGATTACATGCCTAAAACCCAAACAATCCTTCTTGAATTCAGAAAGAGTTGGTTTTACGACAAAGTTCATGCCGTCAGTGCCACGGTAGTGAGTGCGTTTCCATGTTCCTGGCATGAGGCAAATAGGTCAAGGGTACGTATAAGATGCTCACCTGAGAAATATTTACACATTTCCTCATTATCTTGTTCTTCAACATCTCGAATATCGAAAGGAAAACTTTTAGGTTGCTGCATTGTAAGAAATAGAATAGCAAATCCAGATAAAGTGACCTCGCACTGTTATGTATGCCTACGTTTTATAATCAGCTTATATTTTGATTAGATAATACATTTATCAGTTGTTATTATCAATTTTAACACAATACATAACAAACATACTGATATATGTTATCGGAAATTTATGTAATCCGTTATTGCATACAAATCCTACGAAATGTTTAGAATTCTTAAAATTGACAGCGAATTTGTAATGAAATTTGGACTTGTTTAACAATGTTTATAATTTTGTTTAATTTTTATTTTGTTTTATTTATGAGTTTCACTAATTTCCTAGTACGATAACAGAATTTTATATAATACAATTTCTAGGAAATGTATACATTTAATACACACATATCCTCGGAAATGTTAATGAATGTAAACATACATGGGATTTAACAATATTTTATACTTTTTCTAAATTGATTCGAAAATCTATACATTTCCTAGGAATTTTATGTAATTGCCTAGGTTTTATACATTTCCGGTAACATACAAACCGATAATTATATTATAATTAATCAACACTTCCCCTACTGATAATGCACCTTGCATTTTTTAGTTATCTACCATGAACTTTGTTAATTTGACGGCAGCACGATTTCTTTCATTATGTTTCTCGAGATGACCGTACTTTTAGCGTACTGACCCAAATCGCTGTCAATGGGCCTAACACGAATATTTGCGACAAGCGCCTTCGTATCATCATCGTTAATTGCTTTGTAATTACTATGAGATTTTATGTGTATTTTACGCTCGGGGCGTTCCACAAACTTTAATACGAAATTTTCGATGACGATACGATGGCGCTTGTCACAATCATTCGTGCTAGGCCCACAGATCTGAGAACATAAAGACTCGCCAGTTCACCGCGACGACTCATCGCACTGTTACGTGGATAATTGTCCGGAAAACAGGGTCGCGACCAACCTTTAATGACGACCAGAATAAATAAGATAATTAAATGAGATTCGTTTATTAAATAAAAAGACACGTATAAATCATTGCATGGACGGGAATCGCATGTCGGTATTCTGCAGGTTGTTGTCAATCCAGAGCTGCGCCTCGCGCGTCATGTCCTCGTCGAAGTAGTCACGCCAGCCTCCCGACTTACCTGGAATTAATCAGTACAATATATTAATTGATAATTTTATTATAAGGAACTTACAGACTCATTAAAAATATTCAGCTATTTTTAGGGTTCCGTACCTCGAAAGGAAAAAACGGAACCCATATAGGATCACTTTGCTGTCCATCCGTCTGTCTGTCAAGGCGCTTTTTTTTCTTATAAAACGATTCTGCATACCTTTCCTAACGAACTCTCCCTTTGATGCCATCATGCCATATTCTTTCATATCATAGATTCCAACAGAAGGGTTATTCTTGAAATTTTCGAATTTCAAATGTGTACTAAGTTCCTCTATCTGGTCAGCTCTGTATTCCTTTCCTAAGAAAGTAGCGACACGTTGCAATGTGGCGGGCAAATCCTAGAACAAAAATAATATTATCAGTATGAGACTGCGGTATCAAAAAGTCATGCAACTACGTTTGTTATTGACGGATAAGGGACGATTCACCAATTTTTCCAAGGATCAATGCAATCAAGGGACAGTCTGAACGGTTATTGAGCCGTGCTGTAGTAAATTCTGTTCGTTACCTGTAATAATTCCTCATAGAACAAAAACAACATGTTCGGGTGATGACGCATCTGCCAGGCTTCTTTTACATGCTCGAAGAACGGTGACCAATACACTGTAAGTAATATGTATAATTTTTCTACAAAGTACGAACTAACGTTAATATTAAATCAGACCTTTCAGCCCCATCTATTCAGCTAAAAGACATATTTTTATCATTGGATCACTAGATTGATATAATGCGTTTTAAACATTGCATTTTACATTAGTTATACAACTTGAATTTACCTAGATCTCTGATGAATAAACTCCAATAGGTTTTGAAATCGCCATTAAAAATAAATGATTGGAAATCCCTAGACAGATGATAGTATGAGACGGCGACATCTCGTGGGTCCCGCGCCACATACACAACTTTGGTGGAGTCGAGCAAAGTTGGAGGTAGGAACGAGAGAGGCAGATGAGTCCTGATGAAGCGCGGCGACGCCATTTTAGAAGCTTGCTCTGAACCAGGAGTCCTCATCGCTTGCAAAGTTTTTAAGTACTCCGGGTTATCGGCATGTTTCTTCTTTAAACTTTCCATTAAGTTATCGTGTGCTATCAGGGGAAGACTGTAAATAGATGAATAAAATAAAAATGTCATTCGATTACTTTTACTTTTCATTTGGCAATTTTATAACATGAAAAAACTAAAAGTGTGTGTCTAGAGGTCTACCTTTTACTAAGAACTCTAATTAAAGGCATAACAACATACTTGGAAAGTAAGGGAGATGGTGAAGTTAGTTCAATAAGAGATGCATCGACTTCTAACAGTACCGATAAGTTTTCATCGGCGAAGCATAAATAAGATCTAACGAACATATATTTTTATAATTAAACGAGTACTTGCTCTAGAAATATAGATCTTGCTGATAGCGGACTCTTTGCTGCAGTGGAATAATCTAAATTGGACGCCAAAAGCCACACCAACTCTAGCGTCCAAGTTGTACCTAAAACGTTCAATATTACAATAACACACTTGTAACTTTTTAGGTAGATATTTGCATTAGTCAGATAAATGTCCGTAACAAATAATAATTTCATGGAGAAGAAGATAACAATAAATTAAACTAAACTGACTTCGTAGAATACGAATCGGAAAACTGTTTTTTCACACAAAAACATTTCAGTTCTACCAGCGTCACTTCCACAATAATTCAATATATTTTTACTTATTTTTGTTTTTACGTTATAATTTTGCTAATACATTGTCATTTCTTTACTTTACCTGAACGTGGAAATGTAACAAGAAATATGTCATCATGTCTCAGCGGCATGTTGTAAATATTTTCAGCATCATGTTCATAGTCACGCATAAGCAAATACTTCTTTGGTCCCACTTGAATACTAAACTTTCCTGCACCTATAATAAATACCATAAACAAACTTCTACTGAATTATGGATTTAACACTCTTAAAAAAAATCAAATAGATATTTAAATCTAATGTTACAACTGCAAATATTTGCCTCAATAGCATCATCGAGAATGTATTAATTCGTAGTTTTTGAGTTACGTTGATTACTTGCACTGAAATATTTATAAACCTTAAAACTATAAAAGGAACTACTCACCCAAAAAATATTTACTCAATTCTCTTTTATCGGTTTCTTCAACATCATGGATGTCGAACGGAAAACTTTTAAATTCTTGCATTGTGAATAACAAAATAAAAATGCAATTTACAGTTTTATATTGTTAACACATATGTCAAGAACATAGAAGTTATTTGAATACGACAAAATTTTATCACCTCCTTTTATTCATGTTCAAAAAAAATGATAAGCCCTGTGCATCATTATTGAAACGGCTGAAAAATTAATGTATTGTCCTCTCTTTTACATTCTTCGATAAAACAGAGACAACAACATGTTTTTGTACGAGTGTTTTGTCAGTGGAAACTCAGGGACGCAGTTGTTAAACACATTTGTTTAATTTTTCGCTTGATTGCCTATATTATTACGATGTTTTAACTTGTTTGACTGCTTTAATTATCTTTTGGCAAGTTGTATACAGAATGTTGCACAAAATGTGTTTCTTCTTGTACATTGAAGTTTAAGACAATAATGTTTCATATGTTGAAGTTTTACATAATTTTAAAGCAAGGTAAAGGTACAGTAAAAAAATTGCCTTTTTTTGGTATGTTTAAATATTGTGCAAAAAATTGTCACTATAACCCACAATTTATCGTGTACTATGTGACTAGCTTTGGCGGCCGGACATAGCAACACCGCTCTCCTCATGTTGCACCCTGTATAAGCTTATCAGTTTAATAGTTTTTTTGTCTTTGTCCTTCCTTGCCCATAATCTTTTAATTGAAATGTTTTATCTTATAAAAAATTCTCGTGTCACAATTTTCGTTCCCATACTCCTCCGAAACGGCTTGACCGATTCTCATGAAATTTTTTGTGCATATTGAGTAGGTCTGAGAATCGGTCAACACCTATTTTTAATCCCGCGCGAAAGGAGTCGCGGGCGACAGCTATTCTTATATATAAAATTCTCGTGTCACAATTTTCGTTCCCATAATCCTAAGAAACGGCTTGACCGATTCTCATGAAATTTGTGAGCATATTGAGTAGGTCTGAGAATCGCCCAACATCTATTTTTAATCCCGCGCGGACGGAGTCGCGGGCGACAGCTAGTAATTTATAATTTTAAAAACGATGTAAGTGTTATGTTATGGATCAAAAAACATTTTATTACTTAGTTTATTGTATTAAAGTTATATCCAATTAAGTCTATTATTTAGTTATGTTTTTAACGTAACAAATACTTGTATTTATTGCATGGATGGGAATCGCATATCGGTATCTTGCAAGTTGTTGTCAATCCAGAGCTGCGCCTCGCGCGTCATTTCCTCGTCGAAGTAGTCACGCCAGCCTCCCGACTTACCTGGAATTAAACAAAAATGTATATATTGATAGAAGATGTCGGTGGCTCAGTGGTCAAACACTTGACTTGCAATCTGCAGGTCCTGGGTTCGAATCCCGCCATGTACCAATGTGTTTTTCGATTTCCGATTTACATATGTACATTTATCCGACGTTCTTTACAGTGAAGGAAAACATCGTGATGCAACCTGCACATATCTGAGAAGAAATTCAAAGATATAAAGATAAAAGATAAGTGTGAAGTCAACCAACCCGCATTTGGCCAGCGTGGTTGACTATGGCCTAATCACCCTTAACTTAGGGTAGGCTCCGAGCCCCTCGGTGGGGACGTAAAGGGAGCTGATGATGATATGTGATGAGATATATTGATAAGACTATAAGGCACTTACAGACTTATTAAGTATTGCACATATATAGGTCCGTAGCACAATAAAAGCATAGTGAGTGACCTGTATAATATTTAAAAAGATAAAGTATTTATTTTTCTTTTGTCATAGAATGATTATGCAAACCTTTCCTAATGAACTCTCCTTTTGGTGCCATCATGCCATACTCTTTCAAATTATCAATTCCTACAGAAGGATTCTTCTTGAAGTTTTCAAATTTCAAATGTGTACAAAGTTCCGCTATCTGGTCAGCTTTGTATTCCTTTCCTAAGAAATCAGCGACACGTTGCACTGTGGCGGGTAAATTCTGGAACAAAAATAAACATTATGAGTGTGAAACGGCAGCGAATGCATTAGGCCATGTGCTAGCTGCATTTGTAATTAAACTAAGGGATGAGTTGAGTTACCAATCTTCCGAAGGGTCAATGCATTCAAAGGCACAGTCTGGACAGTTTTTGGCTGAAGTAAATTCTACTCAATTAAATTATTCAAAATTTCGTGAGACATTATACTAAATTGATATATAAACTGGTATTATTTCGCGGACGCGGCCCATCGCTCACTGACAACTACCACTACCACTCATCCTGATGAAGGGCCCCCGATGGGCTCGAAACTAGTCGGTGCCGCCACCGGACGAATATACGTGAGGGTTTAGCCGTGTTTATATATCAATTTAAATTCTACTCGTTACCTGTAATAATTCCTCATAGAACAAAAACAGCATGTTCGGATGCTGACGCATCTGCCAAGCTTCTTTTAAATGCTCGAAGAACGGTGACCAGTACACTAAAATTATAAAATTAATATCATGTGCATGATTTCCGTATACTATGAACTAGAGTATAATAAACCTTAAATCCGGCCTCTCTTCCTTATCTTTTCAGTCAAAAGACATTTTTTTTGAAAACATATAGACCTAAATTTACCTAGATCTTTGACGAATAACCTCCAATAGCTTTTGAAATCGCCATTAAAATTATATGATTTGAACTCGCTGGAGAGATAATAGTAAGACACGGCGACGTCCCGTGGATCCCTCGCCACATACACAACTTTAGTGGTGTCGAGCAAAGTCGGGGGCAGCAGTGAAAGAGGGAGATGCGTCCTGATGAAGCGTGGCGAGGGCATTCTTGCGACTTGCTCCGATCCAGGAGTCCTCATGAGTTGCAAGTTTTTTAAATTTTCTGGTTTATCGGCGTGTTCTTTATCTAAATGTTCCACTATATTTTTGTGCATTAGCATGGGAAATCTGTAAGAAAATTACGCTCATAAAAAATCATTTGATAAAAATAAGATACCACAGATCTACTTGATATTCAGTACTCATATTAACATTTTAATAGTATTCAAATTAATCGCATAATAATAAAAACTTGTAAAATTGAGAGAAAGTTTATTCAAATTGAAGAATTGACGTCTGGCCGTAAGAGTAGGTGTGGGAGGGAACACCTGGGAAGCTGAAGCATAAGAGAGATGTTACGAACAGATATTGGAAGTGAAACGATTACTTGCTCTAGAAATATAGATCTTGACGAGAGCGGAATCTTCTCTGCAGTGGAATAATCTAAATCGGACGCCAAAAGCCATACTAATTCTTGCGTCCAAGTTGTACCTAGAAGTAAAAAAGTCGTTCCATATTACAATGATACTCTATTGACTCTTGTAACATTATATAATAATATAAAGTAATCACATAATATCCATAACAAAATACTATTTTCAATCACAAGAAGAAACTAATTAATACGAATGACTATGCCCCTATAGCACTTCATAGCATTATACAAATCTCATAACATCTTTTCACACAAAAATATTCCAGCAGTTTATAGTCGTAATATTTCTGGTTTTACTGTTTAATTATCCTAATGCATTTTCTTTTCTTTATATTACCTGAACGTGGATATGTAACAACGAATATGTCGTCGTATCTTAGCCGCATGTTGTAAATATTTTCAGCATCATGTTTATAGTCACTCATAAGCAAATACTTCTTTGGTCCCACTTGAATACTAAAGTTCCCTGCACCTATAATAAATACCACAAACTAACTTCCACTGCATTATAGATTTAAAACGATTATAAAAGTAAAATTTTCGTGTTCCTTAATGAATAATAAACCTTACTATTGAAATCTATAATTATAAGTGCAAATGTTTGTCTCGACAGCATCATAGAGAAAGTCTTAATTCCTAGTTATTGTTACCTTGATGCACTTGTATTTGTAAGTCTAGGCACTACAATTCTTATAGGACTTATAAAAAAACTGTAATAGAAACTCACCCAAGAAATATTTACTCAATTCTTTATCATCGGTCCCTTCAACATCACGGATATCAAACGGGAAACTGTTATTCGGATCTTGCATCGCGAAAAACAAAATTAAATAATGCAAATAAAGTTGTTGGTACACGTCAAGTCAATCAATCTTAGTTTAATAAGTGTTGTTTGGATATGATAAAATTTTATCATCTATTTTTATGCATGGTACGTTACAAAAAACATTGATAAGCATTTTTTAAAAATCGACACATCTATACAATACTGTGTTGTCATCACTTTCATTGTCCTTACTAAAATAGAGATTACTTCATGTTTTTGTACATTTGTTTCGGCAGTGAAAACTCAAGACATAAGTGTTTTAAAGTCTCCTTTCTATGTTTCCGTTGCGGCGCATATTTTATGATAAGTCAACTTGTTTGACTGTTTCTATTAACTTTTTAGAATATACTACAATACAGTATGAATACAAATAAATAACAATCTGTGTTTTTTACACAAAAAAGTTTTTAGGTCATTTTTCAGCAAGGTTAAGGTACGTATTCAAATATTGTGCAGCAAACTGTCACCACAACCCTTAAATTATCATGTATATGCATGTTGTATGAGAAGTTTTTGCGGCCGATCATGGCAATACCGTCGTAACCCTTGTCATGTTACATCCTGTATATAACAATTTAATATTTATTTATTTATAGACGAAAGATATTTATAATGCGTATTGTTTAGTAATGAGAAACACGATGTCATTGTTATTTAGTTGACCTGAAATTGTTTTATCGCTTGTTATAATATATCAAACACTATTGTGTTAAATTAAAACACAATAGAATCATACCAATTTAATAATTCTACAAATCCCTAATGAAAGAGACACGACTTTGTTCATATTATTTTCATATTAACATGACTGTTTAGATCTTAGCTAAATTAAATAAGACATTATCAGGAATCATTAAAAACATTAGTTGCAAATTTTTGTTGCGAATGTTCGGAGAATACAGAATAATTATAAATTGAATTATATATTATGTTTACTATTTAATTATGTATTTAAAGTAACAAATTCAAGTATTTATTGCATGGACGGGAATCGCATGTCGGTATCCTGCAAGTTGTTGTCAATCCAGTGTTTCGCCTCGCGCCTCATGTCCTCGTCAAAGTAGTCACGCCAACCTCCCGACTTACCTGGAATTAGTCATTTGTGACACATTTTATGTAAATTTTACTGTGTTACAATTTATACTACTTATTCCAACAATAATGAAGCTGCCGAAATGAAGGCGATTGGGCTGACATGGCCCGAGACTAAACGCAGAGCCCAAGATAGAGCGAACTGGCGGCGCACTGTGGACGCCCCCTGCCCCACTACGGGGACATAGGACTTTAAGTCAAGTAAGTCATTCCAATAATGATAAACATTTCAGGTAAGGTACATTCGACGTCAATTTGATTTAATAATGTACGTGTATATTAAATTTATTAAAATAAATATATTTTCTTGAGATTAATGAAGATAATTCTAGTTGCTTCTAAAGACGACGGAAAAGAACGGTTGAATTTTGATAAACTTTGGGATGTTATATAATAAAGTAAAAAGGGAATAATGAAATGAGATCGGCACGCACTGTTAGAAGATACATTTACCACTGATATTAGCAGCATATACAGGGTGAATCAAAGTTATCGTGAATAATGATCTAAGCGCGTCGATAAAGAGTAATCAGCTGATAAGATGTAAAAAAGAGATGCAGCTTTAGACAGGATTGATTTTTAATTACCAAAAAAATACATAGCTTTACCTGGTCGATTGTAATGAATATCCCAATGTGCCTAATATACTCAAAGCCGCAATGATATTTATACCAACTCACCATTACGAATAAATGATTCTTTCTCGGACAGCATGCCCAAAGTCTTAAGTTCATCTTGATTGACCGATGGGTTGTTTTTAAAGTTCTCGAAACTGAGATGTGAACAAAGCTGTGTCAGTTGATCAGATGTTATTTTCTTCCCCAAGAAATCCGCTACACGTTGCACTGTGGCAGGCAGATCCTGATATAAAAATATAGCAAATATTCAATTAGAATGAAAAGTTTTAAATTGTGGTACGTAATTTAAAATGTTGTGACTTTGACTAATAGGTTCCATCCGCTGTTGTCAGCGATTAAACTATTTTTTTATATTATATTATAGTCCTCATTAAGTCAACAATACTAAACAATATTAAATATTTAATTTCTTTATTTAATTTCTTTATTTATACTAATATAGCAACATATCTAAAGAGTAGATTAGTTATGGACGGATGAATGATTGTTTCAAATTTGTTACACACTCATTATTACATTTTCTTTTTATCGCGTACCTTGGAAAGTTCTTCGTAAAACAAAAACAGCATGTTAGGATGATGTCGCAATTGCCACGCTTCCTTCAAATGTTCGAAGTACGGCGCCCAGTTAACTAAAACAAACTTATAATATCATTTCGGTAAGCTACTTAGAATAAGCATCTTTGGTTACGAACACGATAAAAAAAAATATTTTATTTTATTTTATCTATATAAACGTAATATGGATCAAGATCAATGGACAAAATAGTTTATTGAAAATCATGACACTGTGTTTGCGATTTTGTAGAGATTTTTTACAATCAAATGAGTAACAAAATACTTAACACACCTTGAGCTCTTTGTGCAGAAAAAAATTGAGCTTTTAGTGGATTAAATTTACTTACCCATATTTTTAATAAACAATTCCCAAAAACTTTTAAAATCGCCAATATAATTTGACAATTTATATAGCTTATTGAGATGATAATACGATACGGCTACGTCTAGTGGGTTCCGCGCCACGTACAGAACTTTAGTAGAGTCGAGCAAAGTAGGGGGCAGGAGGGACATAGGCAGGTGCGTCTTTAGGAAGCGCGGCGATGACATCTGAGCGGCCAGTTGTGATCCAGGGGCAGACAAAATATCCAGAATTTTTAATTGATCCTCTTTACCGGCATTCTCATTTTTTACTGCATTTAAGATTTCTTTGCTTAGGTACATCGAAAACCTGCAATACAACATGTATAACTTAACTTACGTCCCTAGTTCCCAAAGATTGACCTCCAACTCACTCCTCAAACAAAAAAACAACAAAGATGCTTTCATGCAAAATTGCTTTGTTTTTTTATGTTTATTATTATTGCAGTAGATGTTACTTACTCCAAAAATGTATATCTCGCCTGAAGCGGAATCGCAGCCGCCTTAGAGTAATCCAGATCAGAAGCCAAAAGCCATACTAACTCTTGTGTCCATGTTGTGCCTACAATGTATTCAATAAGATTAATTTGCTTTTATACTTTATACACTTTTAATTATTACGTTCAAATAATATCTTCTAGTTAAAAAGAGATATTGGGAGCCGGAAAACTGGGAATGCAAATGTGCTATGAGGTTGAACATATATTTGGGACGTTATTTATTACCAGAAGATTAATGTAAAGTTGTTTTGCCCGTAATACGAGATAACTGGTTACAGCATGATTATGAAAAGTAGCAATGCCTTTTTGGATGAAAACTTTATGATTAGAAAGTACATCCATATTTTCAAGTTGCCTACGTGATTCGAATATTTTTTTAGCTCTTATTGGGAATTTGTCGTACAAATCGAAATCTGTTAAGTTAGAAATTTTGCATTAGCTATGGAGGTACTGCAAAAATAAATTAGCTAGCCTATGGTCTAATTGAAAGTATGTATTAAAAGACTAGCTGACGCCCGCGACTCCGTCCGCGTGGAATTAAAAAATTACCTGATCTAGGAAAACTGGCAACAAAGATGTCGTCAGGTCTGAGAGGCATGTTGTAAATATTTGCAGCGTCATTCTTATAATTATTTATCAAAAAATAATTCTTCGGACCCACTCGAATATAGTCGTATCTTCCTGCAAAAAATGTATTTTTTTAGTTATAGAATCGTCTTCTGAATTACCAAATAACAAATAGTTTATTATTCCATTACCAGTCGAAGTTAAACTAAATGTTCTTAAAATCTGAAATTATACGCAAGCGGCATAAAGTTTCTGCACATTTTATCGTATACAAGATACAATCCATGAGCTATTTCAATGCGTAATATTATAAACGTTAATTCCCTTGCCGAAAGACTTTGTACAAACATATTGTCAACATTTTTTTTTGTCCAGGACCAAGAAAACATACGATAATTTGTTATTAAGATATAAAAGCCCTTCAAAAATTCACCGACAAATTTCGTATCAATTTCCTTGGGAGGGAAACTGAAGAAAGCATATTTATATAAAAACACTAACCTAGAAAATTTTTATTTACTTCTTGCGTTTCTGATTCTTCGATAGGATGGATATCGTAAGGAAATTTATTAGACGACATTGCGAACGCGAAACAGACTGTAAACAGCACGTTTGTATTACTTGTATCACGTCTGTCTACGATTTTATAGTCCTTTAAAATTATATTTAGATAAGATATACGTAATTATTATCAGGTGTTGCTACGATTTATATCAGTGTTATTCCATGACATGACAACTATTAGGGGGCAAGAGAACTTGATTACTTTTTAGTAAGAATAGGCCAGGGATGCCTAACGTGTATGTATTAAGCCATCCAATAATTTTGACTCTGTGCTTATTGCGATGAATAACATAGGGATTACTCGCGTTTGCTTCTCATATAATAAATACGTGCTGCATATGTACTTTCTTAGTGCATAATGTGAAAAACATTGCGTCGCATCCATTAATTAAGAAGTCAGGGTCCGAATACAGTTATTTATAAAGACTTTACTATAAAATGACAAAGTGAAAGATTACTAAATACTATCAGTATTCTCGGATTTCATATGCTGTTATAAAATGTCAAAGTTTACACATTCAATTTTCGAAAAAAAAATCGTTTTAAAAAAAAAATAAGTAAGTAAATTTTAAGGTATTGTACTAGCTAGAAGAACTATGTAAGAAACATTTTAATTTTTTTAACGTATTGTGACAACCCTATAAAAATAGGTAAAAATGTTGAACGTCCTTAAAGCTTTGTTTCACTCTCACTCTTTCATTATCTATGTTATTGGCTATCAGTACCGACGAAATTCTTGATCAGTGGGCCGAGTACGAATACTTATGACAATCATTTTCGTTTCGTCATCGTCAATTATATAAAAACTAGTTGTTGCCCGTGATTCCGTCAGTCCGGATTTAAAAAAAAGCGTGTGTGTCCTTCAGACTATATACCATGTCTATGCCAAATTTCAGCGAGTTTCATGCAGCCGTTTTAGTAATAACCTTCTTACAAACTAAACTTTCAACATACATCTAAACTTTCGAATTTATAATATTAATAAGATTAGTATCAGATTATTTTTGTATTTTACGCCCGTCATACATTTGTGTTAGTATGTAGTTTATTTAATATAGTATTAATTAATTCATTTGTTTTGTAGTGGTTAGTTATATAGTACGATTATATTTTAATTATTAAATGTCTAGTATTAGTTAACAACGTAATAGAATTCTAAATAAAACAAAGAGTAAATTCTTGTCTAATCTTTGTGTCGGTCGTTGTGCAAATTTTATATAATTTTTTTCGATGACGATGACGGCAATTATCACAAATTTCGTACTAGGCCCACAGTTCTAATTTATATCGTCTAATAACAAATAGATAGCTCTACTTAAT